GCAGCCTTCTGTTTATTCAACGTGGTGGGGGCCGAAGGAACCGGGCAGAGTTTTTCGCCGGTCAACGTGTGTGAAAGTTTAAATCTTCCTTATTGAGCTTTAAAACAAATGAATAACGACTATATATATAATAATAAAATAAACACCGGCATTAAAAAAAAAGTCATGAAAGAGATAAGGAGGAGAAAAGGTTTAAGGAAGTAAGCAAGGAATACAGAATGTCGAAATTAATCCTCTGTTTCACGCGATGTCGAACATTGAAAAGTCCTTATAAAATGATAGAATTTAAAAGAGTCTTGAAAAAGCATGGTGATGGCAATAAATGCATTAATGAATCCCCAAAATCTACAGAATACATTTAATTTAAGGGGAGCAGTTACTGAGAAGTATATAATGAGAACTGCTACCAATGGTGGCCTATTTAGTTTATTAAGAAATACATATTTTTAGCTATTCATTCGCAGAAGTGATCTATCTAAGTTCTATTCATATTCTTGACGGGAAGAGTTAGTATACAATAGGCTTTAAAAGCCTTCTCCAAATCAAACCAAGATATCTTGGGTCAGTCTTTTCTTCCAAAAAGTTTGTGACAAGATGTGAAGGTATTCACTCAGAGGGGGGTAGGTGAACCGGTTTTTCGCCGGTCAACGTGTGTGAAAGTTTAAATCTTCCTTATTGAGCTTTAAAACAAATGAATAACGACTATATATAATAATAAAATAAACACCGGCTGTTGTTATGCCTGCTGTAACGTTACATTACTCCGTTCTCCGCTTAAGTAATTATGCCGTTACAAGCTTCATAGTTGTATTTATCATCTAAATTTGCCGAAACAAGTTTAATATTCTGAAAGCCAAGACTTTGTTTATTTGAAATCAGATGAAAATAAACTGTAACGGACCCTGCCGTGTTATCTTGATATTTCCGGCACAGACCCTTTCATACCGGCAATGCGCGATAGAAAGAACAGGAACTGCGACAGCATAAATATGCGAACACAAACCTACAGACTGCTGGAGAAGAGATATCACGGGGGGGGGGGGGGGGGTTGGGACACACACACATTCCGATGGCCAATTAGTTTTAAACAAAGAGTAGGCTATATTCAACATATGGGTGGGGGCTGGTGAACGGTATGGTCAATGTTTGTAAACACTGTGACATTTTGACTTTATTTGATCATTTCAGTTAAAAACTAACGTTCATATTTCATATTACTGTTTTGCCTGGCTGGACCTGTAATTTACAGGAAAGGAGTGCACGCTACTAAAGAGACACGCTACCATGGAAACCAAACAATGGTGTTGCTGTATTGAAGTCCGAGTGGAAACAGTCATATTTGGAGCGGCCGTTATGTTAGAATGAAACAGTCAGGTCGTGACTCACAAAAAAAAAGTGTTACTTCACTAACTGTAAGCTTGTTACTCAGAGTAACCTACACATTAGTACCAGACATACTGTACATTGTGGTGATTGACATTATTCACCCACGGATCTATGAGTTGGGGTATTGTTCCGCACGGACATTTTAGTGAACCAGACCAGCTGTTTCCGCCGGTCTTCGCTTCCCGGGCATGAAGTTGTTTACAAGTGTGTTCAGATGCTAAATAAAAGTTTAGCTTGTACTTTTGATACCCCGCCTCCGACTCCCGTCTCTCGGCACCACAACATCCAGTTTACTGTATCGAAGTTGATTTCACATGAGCGATGTCGAACATTGAAAAGTCCTTATAAAATCTCTGTTATTAGATCAGTACTTTTCTTATATGACTATTATTGACTTGAACACTGAGAATGTATTTATTAACTTCAGACATTTGAAATATTTGAAATCAGATGAAAACAAACTGTAACGGCCCCTGCCGTGTTATCTATGATTACTATGCCTTACTGTACATTCATAATTTCAGCCGGAGGTAGGTGGGAGGCGTTGCGGAGGAGCAGATTGCGAGTGAGGTGCCTGTTCTAAACGAACTATTCCAGCTGTTATAAAGCATTAAATAAAAAGTCATGAAAGAGATAAGGAGGAGAAAAGGTTTAAGGAAGTAAGCAAGGAATACAGAATGTTTCGTTACGTTACTTTGTTGAGAATGTGGCCATGTAATAAACGGGATAATTTGCAGCGACTTGGTCATTGTGGGGAAAAATAACACCCATCCTGATCGTTTCAATGAAGTTGAATACAGAATATTCATATTTGTCAGTGATTTCATGTCAATTCGGCGAACATAAACATCAATGATGATGATTAAATTAGGATTAAAAATCGGGAGAGCCGGCTCGTTCGTTTTTTTCGACTAAACAACATTATTTTGTTAAATAACAACATGGTGATGTTTTGTAAATGATTACATGTATTATTTAGCACAGACTATGATCCTATCCGTGACATATGGATCTTAACAACAAAGAAGTTGATTTCACATGACTCCAGTGTGGAACCCCACTGCACCCCCTGGTGGATCAATGATCCATTGCAGCTGGCTTCACAATAATTACATTTATTTATCACGGGGGCGGTATCAAGTCAGACTGGGGGCCGGCTCTTCTTCATGGGCCGATCTCGGGCCGATCACGGAATGTGCACGAGCCAATCACGACCCTCGCGTTTCAAACTGTCCAAAATAAGACGCTCCATCTGTATTTTCATTCCTCTTTCTCTCTCAACATTCTTTATAAAGCATTTTACATACGACAATTAAATAACAAACATCTCTTCTCTTTTTGTGAAATTAAAAACTCATGAGTTTTTCACAGACTGCTGCCTCTAAAAGAGAAAAATGGTGATGATAGTGATGAAGATCACCCTCGTTGTAAATAAGCCAATAGCTAATAAGGTTAATCTGTAGTCCCTATAGGAAGGTTTTTGCAACATTAATGGACTAATGTTGTCTACACAATGCTTCAACAAACACAACAGTACAACACAATTCAGTATAATACAGTAAAATACATTAGAAAAGTGGCAGTGCCACAAATGAAGATTATCCTGATTGCAGTAGAGATATGTTGATTGGCAGATATAAAAACTAGTGTTCTCATGAGTAAAAACAACACGGATTGTTTTGGTAGACAGAGATTGAATTACTTTGCAGCTAAAGTCTGACACCTATTCTCTTCCAACTGATCATGCTGACTATGAATACATGAACATGCTAATTACCAAGGCAGTGTTACAAATGAGAAACAAGTGAGATAAATGGAGTGATTAGAGGACAAATAACACCAGACATTAATTACAGAATGCTGTTAATTAGCGTCACTAATGGAATTGTTTTTGCAGATTTGTTTGGATGTTCGACACGTCGCCTCTCAATTTCCCCCTCAACATCTTTTTCATTATTCACTTGTTTTTGTGACACGATGATTAATGGTGTGTGTCTTGTTGTTGTCTGTCAACGCGCTCCTCAACTCGCACTCTGACACAAAATCACTCTTTTGTTTTGTGAATGAGACAAGCCCTCTTTCTTTGCATTAGGAACACATGATTGGGGAACATTTTTAATCTTTTCACTTTTATTTAGACGAAAATTGCAATTGAGAAATGATTCACATTATTGGAGGGCGTTATAATTTTTGCATCGTTATTCCTTTTATCATTGTAAGACACATTTCATCGTGGTGTGATTTATTATTTTCGTCTTCTTTTTTTAAGCGGATCTGTACTAAACAAATGTGTTTTATAAAGTCAACCTAATACGATTTATATACTTCCCATAATCCATATATTGCGATTAAATTTGAATTCATTTTCTAGCCCTAATGTTCATGTGAACCATCTGCACACCATTACACACACAAAAAACCAGAGCAAATGTGGTCAAGATGCATTAATGGGATACTCCACCTGCATTGAAGTGTGTGTGTTAGTGCGTGTCTGGCTCTCTATGCAGGGCATTCTGGGTAATGGGACTGATGCTTCACAGCCAGCAGCTCATGGCTCATGGCTCACTGGTGCTGAAGCTTCCGCTAGCCAACATGTAATGAGAGCTAATGGACTCAGCTTGTGTTTGCCTTCCATCCCTCTCCTCTTTCATTATTTCTCTCCCGCCATCCGACACTCCGCCGCGACATTCCCTCCTTTCTCTTTGTCCTTGTTTGACACCATCCTGAGTGCTACTTCATTGCACCCCCACCCCCCCTCAGGATATATTCTGCAGTCACGTGACCGGGCCCAAGTTTGTTTTATGCACCACCTCCCCTCTTTGTCTTCTCCTCACATGACCTCTCCCTCTCTCACACATAGCATATCTCTGTATTGTTTGTCTAGCCCAGAGGCCTGTACGACGAACCCGGTTTTTCGCTTAGCGAGCTAACTTCAGGGAAAACTCTGGGTTTCCGGTCCTACGACGCTGGTTTTCTTCTTAGCGAGCTAGATCTCCATGGTAACTTATGCTGAGCGGCTAACCTGGACCGGAGCAACATCATCACTCCAATCTGACTTTGGAGGATCTTTCTGTACACATTGATATGGATGAGTTTGCTTGCAATCGGTGTGTGTTACCCTACTGCTGTTTATTTCATAAGGGACAGCCAGATGGTGTGAGTGTGGAAAAAAACGACAAATCTCAACTTGGCAGTATTAAACCTAAAAGTAATTTCTCAGCCTTTGGCAGAAAAAGCTCCATCTACCATTATCATTCCCATTACCAGTGTAATTTCCCCATCATTAATACATCAGGTTTGGCGCATTTGTGTGTGTGTGTGTGTGCACCGAGTCATTTAGCCAATAGCTGCGAGAGTGTGGCTGTCAATGCTGAATATGCTAATAGCCTGACACCTGTTTGTATAAGAAGAGAGAAAACACACACCTCCCCGTCAAAAACTCCCACACAACACACGAGCAGAACTGATTTTGAAGCTTTGGGGCGAGGTTGGTGAAAATCATTGATGCGGAACGATAAAATATAAAAGATGAGGAATGTGCTTTCTGCTAAAGGAGCAAGGCGGGAGTGTCAACGGGCTCTGATGTCTCCTCTCTTTTCTTTCTTTCTCTGCAGTGATGGAGCCCATGACGGTGACGACGTCGGTGGTCGGACCGGACGAGTTCGACCGCAACGCCCCGCGGATCTGCGGCGTGTGTGGCGACAAGGCCACTGGCTTCCACTTCAACGCCATGACGTGTGAGGGCTGCAAGGGATTCTTCAGGTGGGTGCTACGTCCCTGAGAGGAGAGTCCTTTGTTGCTTTCTGTGTTCTCTGAGTGTTATATAGAATAGAATAGTTATATAGAGAATAAAGCTTGCTGAATGAGTTATGGATTCTCTCTCCTATAGGCGCAGCATGAAGCGTAAAGCCTCCTTCACCTGTCCATTCAACGGGACCTGCACCATCACTAAGGACAACCGACGTCACTGCCAGGCCTGCCGCCTCAAACGCTGCGTCGACATTGGCATGATGAAGGAGTGTGAGTACACTTTTCCTCACCTCAGACATTAAAATTGCGTTTATTAAATGTTTTTCTAATGTAGTTGCACTTTGCCCTCTTGATACAAACGACAAAACTTGACACAGACCTAGAACTATGTAGGTTGAATCAGATTCAGTCATCTAAAGACATATATTATACACATTTTCAGGTCCATATTTGTATTTTGTCATTCTACTGTGACATGTTTCTATGCTTTAATGTTCAAAAAGTTCTTAATTTTCTCATTCTGTCTGTGCTGCAGCACCTCTTTTCACTCACTGTTTTGATTGGTCAACCGCTAACAGATGTCACACCTATTAGCCTATGACGCACAATGTGTTGGAGCACTAGCCAATAAATGTGTGACTGTTACATAGTGATGTCACTATGTTGCTGAAGTAAACAATGGAGGCGTTTCAGGCAGGGGGGGGGGGGGGAGTGTGTGAGAGAGAAACTCCCTCTGGAGGGAACTTTGGGATTTTAGCCTTTGCAGACCATTTACATGCACAAAAACCTATATGACACACTACAGGAAAGGGAAACCCCAAAAAAGCTAAACAGGGCCCCTTTAAAAAAATAACTTTTAACCAGATGAAATTACTACATAATCTCGTATGAAGTAGTTAAAAAATGAATTATAAGGTGGAAATATGTAACATCTTGTCCTCATCTTGACATTGCTTTGATGTTGGGCATCTGAAGCCCCTCATGATGCTTCAGGACCCCGGCTTTCCTTGAGTCCGAAGCCATCGCTGCATGACATACAGTTAACTCTTTGTTATTATTTTTGTGCACTCGCCCAGACTGTATTTCTTTAGCAGTGCCATTTTTCAACTCATTGCCCCCTACAGTCTAATTTGATGAGCTGTTGTGTCTCGCTCACCTAAACCACCCCTCACCGCCCCAGTTTTAACATGTCAGGGTCCAATTAGGACAGTGGAGAAAAAAGAAAAAAAAGCTTAAATCCAGTTTTTAAATCAATGCATTATTGAAATCAACCCCAAATCTGAAATAATAATAATTAGTTTTAGTCCTGTTTTTTTGCTGTTATTTTGTATTGATGCTTTTTATAATCATTCTACAATTACACCTAACATACATTGATTATATCATCTTAATGTTCTTTTTTTTACTCCGTTTTAGTACTGAAGAAAATCAATATATGCATTTTTAGATGTACCAACCGCCTGGAGAGATAAGTGTCAGGTTGGCTGGTGTAGGCAGTAAACTGGTTTCCTGCATTTAACCTAATATTTAAAGAAATTCAGGGAGAGCAGCAGCCAATAGAATCAATGGTCGGGTGCAAATTGATCCGATTTGAAACAAGCAGACAGTCAATAATGATTATACATACATAAAGGCAGGAAGTGCCATATGGCAAAGTCAGGCGCGGGATAAATTAATTAAAGTTAATTTACTTAATTCTGCCAGATGGGGTTTCATTATTAATGTGGTGTAGATGGCATTAATCAAAGTGTAGTTATTTATCTTAAATGTATGTAAAGAGCATGGTTTTATGTTTGAAAGGCTGTTTGACGAGAGTCTGCTCTTACCATGTTGGTTATTCAGTTCCAGGATGTAATACAAGTCGACAGGAGTTTGTGAAGGGAGAATGAGACATCAGCTCGATCCCATGTTAACACGAAATGACACATCGTGTCACAACTGATTCTAAGATAACTCTTTATTCTGCAAGCAAATGATCATTATCTGGTAGTTTATACTTTATCCACTTTGCGCCGCACCTATTTAAATGTCAAACAGTGAGGAAGCACCGTTTTTCTTCATAACATTGTTACAAATCAGTGTGCAAATGAATTTTAAACAAACCAGTAGGAAGTAGCACCAACAGTAGAGTATCAGCTTAACCGTGACAAGAAGTAGACGACAAGAGGAGAATGAGAGAGTGGGAAGGGAGGAAGGAAGCCAGGGGGGGTTAGGTCCTGTTCAACAATGGCTGTCTTTCTTCAAAGAGACACACAATGGTCTGGCCCACATTTCCATTCACAGACAGACAGTTCGAAACAGAGATGATGCGGGGCAGGGTCCAGACCATTCACTGTATTTAATAAGTGTATGTAGTCACTATCACATCACCCATTGGCTTGTGGACTACCGTTTCGAGGTCTTGGCAATTTGGCCATCACCATCTTTGTTTTAGCAGTTCAAAGTGACAAGAAAGGGTGAAACTAATAGAACGCTGAAAAACCAAAAACGTAACTGATTAACTTTTATGAACCAAAACCACACTGATAAAGGTTAAAGTTAGAAGAAGAAGAACACACAAACTACACCCAAACAGGACAACATATTGTTAGTTATCACAAGGCCCTAAACATACCTTGCTTTATCATCTCATTTATTCTAAATGGGACCATAATTTACCAAATCATTATGCAACAATCTATTAAGGAAAACGTGATGCTAGAAATTGAGACCATACACTCATTTGGAAACTGTTTACTTAGGTTATAAACCTAGTGACCAGTAGGGTCATTGTTTCATAGACTTCTATACAATCTGAATAATCTTAGCAGCGTAGTCAGTGTAGTTGCCCCCGGCTGGTTATTATGCAATACCTGCAGACAAATAAACCCCAATGTAGCAGCTTGAAAGCCACCATTACAGCAACACTCATTAGTTTCTCATTAGTCTGTGTTGAACTCTGCATTGACTCTCATGCAGAGATCCCACAAAACATACAGAGCACTCACTCCGACACCCCCATAAGATCCAACAAAATAAAGACCACACACTTTGATCCTGGAAAAACGACCCAGCTACCTACAACACTGATGTGGCACAGCTTCACTTTTCACTGTGTCGACCACAAATAGCCACATGACCCATGCAATGAAAATATGACAGGAAAACAAGCAGGATGAGAACGACTTGTCAGTACAAAGCAGTCTCTTTGTTTCTCACAGCTAGTTATCATGTCCGTGGGGTGAAGGAAACCCACTGTACTCACAGCTGAGTATCACAGCTGCTCGGCTCTCCTGCTTCGACACTGTATGCCCATTTTTTCCCCCCACATAGAGAACTTCCAAGGCAACAGCTTTTTTCATATTCTGAATTGCCCGTACAAAACCTGACCTTCTGCAATAACAACACAAGAATGTTGCATTAATGCCAACTGCAAGGGCAGAATCCCTCCAGGGTGGCACTGAAGAGAAAGCTGGATGATATGCTAGCAATTAGTGCTTGGCAATAAAATAGTTTGTTCACATTATTGAGTCTTCTGAAAAACGCAGGTATGTGTTTGCCTGCGGTCCGTAATTGGAGTGACGTGCACTGTCAAAATGTTAACATGCACTTCAGATCCACAGGCTGCATTTGTTAAATGTTTTGCAACGAGCAACAGGCAGCCTGAAAATAACCAGACACATACGGTATAACTTTAATTTATATCATACTGTTGTCATTGTTTTTGCAGTGCATATCAGTACTCATTGGAAGAAAATGTAAGTCTATTTTAGAAATGTACTGGCAAATCTGTGTTGATGTCTGCACACTCATTCATCTAATGTATTTGCTTTAATTTCTCTGATTAGTTCTCCCCCATTATAAATGTACAGAATCCCTCTGTCCAGAAATATGTATTCTAAAAGCTGCTTGTGAATATTCGCACAGCAATCGCACAGCCCTATATTTCCTAGTTTTTACATAAATGGCCTTTGGATAGCGGGCGCAAGAAGATAAGTGAAGTGGCCTTATGCATTTGCCCAGTTTATTTTCCTATTTAAAATAAATGAATCCAGTTTAAGTATGTCATGGTTGATTTTCCATTCTTGCCTTATTTTAAGTTTTACACAAAAACAATTAAAATGCCTGCTGATGCCAGGATGAAGGTGGCACTGAGCATTGATTGGTGGGATGTTGACTCATAACCAATTATACAGTCTTGTTTGTCAAACAAAAGGTTTTCCCTTTTACTGTTGTGTTTTATATAGGATGTTGTGCATGTAAATGGTCTGCAAAGTCTAAGATCCCACATTTCCCTCCAGAGGGAGTTTCTCTCCCACACACTCCAAACTTTAAAGGGGACCTATCATGCAAAATGCACTTTGTGATGTCTTTTATATATAAAAGTCAGAGGTCTTCTTTGTTATTTATTGAGCTTTAAAACAAATGAATAACGACTCTATATAATAATATAATAATAAAAAACTGAGCCTCTCTTTTCCTCCCCCTCTTCTGAGAGCCCAGCAGCTGATCAGAGCATGCCCCCCTCTCCTGCAGAGGGGGGCAGAGAGGTGTCATGGCCATTTCCACTGATCATAATTCCATTGTTGAGGTATACTAAAATAGATTTATATTGTGCAATTTTCCAAACTCACATTGGTTTCTCATACAGCATCTCTGTAAACTACTTGTATTCACTGAATTTCACTCTCTGCCTTTAACGGCTGGTTGTAGCTCCAATAGCTCCAGCCCCGACCCTCCCTGTGAGCACAGTGTGCTCTGATTGGTCGGGACGTTGTGAATCGCGCTGAGCTCCGTGGAGGTGTTGTTTCCTTGTTTAGGATACACAGCGAAACACAGCCAAACTCATCCTGAGCACACACAAACTCACAGCCGAAGTAAAAACAATAAGTGTGGCTTGATATTGAGTAAGAAAAAGGTTGATAAACGCTGTGAGAATGGGTCTGCAGAGAGAATTTCGCCGCGATCCCAACTGTCTGTTATCAGCCTGCAGCCAGGGAGGAGAAATCAGCAGAGCTGCCTGTGTGTGAGGAAGTCCGTGGATTGGTCAATTTGGACCAATCAGCGGGGGCTTAATGTAACGGCTCCACGGATTGGTCCATTTGGTTCCGGGTACCGCATGACCGTATCGCGTCATAGCTCTGGGCATGGCTACTGGGTATCCCTACGTAGCGATACCCAGGAAGTAAACAATGGACAATGACGTATCTCCAACGAGGCGTTTTGGGGAGGTATTTTCTGTGTTAGAGTTTTACTCGCTACAGGGTGTACTTTGAGGGTTTTGACTCTGC